GTGCCTGAGCTGGAGGAACCATGTGGAGAGCCCTGCCAGCACTGAGATGCTTACAACCCCACTGGATCCACAGGACTTCCCACCCACTGGCCTGTGATCTTCCTGCATTCAGCATTATTGCATGTGTTTCATGAGTCTGAAGAAAACTTTATAGATTGATATCGGACCTCTGGGCTAATATCAGACTTATGGACTTGATCTGGACTGGCTGGGGTGTTTTCTCGATCTTCAATTGCTCTTGTATATAAAGCTCTTTCTTATACACATGAGTGTTTATGAACTTGTTTCTCTAGTCTACCCAGACTAACACAGATGGCAATGATGAAGAGTGATTTGTGAGAGTAGCAATGTGGTGTTGAGAAAATACCAATCATGCTCAACAGAACCATGCTAACTGCTTTAGAGCAGATTACCCCCTACAAAAGGAAACCACGGGCTGCCTGGTGCTCACTGGCTCATCTGTGAGTTCACTGCACATGACAAGGAAGTCCCGGTTTGCCCCTTTACTCCAGCTCGGTCAGGGATTGTAAATTTGAAAAGAGGCTTTGTTTCTGTAGGAAGGTGCGGTGGCATGGGGGGAGAGACGGATGACAGCCATGCCTAGAAACAAATTAATTGGCATGCTGGAGAAGTGTGACCTTGTTCACTATAGACGAGTAGGTAAGCACAGGTCGGCCCATGCAGACCTTGCTTCTTGGGTCATCCGACACTGGACTGACTCACCCCTGCTCCGAATCTGCTGAGGCGAGCATGGACCTGAAAGAGAGGCCTACACGCAACGATTGTGACAGAAGCCCCTCCTTCTGAAGCACAGACGGCCGGTGACAAGCAAAGAAAAGTGAAAGCCAATCCACACCCGCTGCTGTGGTGCCCATTCTGATCCCGAACCGCCCAGCGGACAGAGTAGAACTGCCTCCGTGGGGTTCCCAGGCGGTGGGCTTCAGAGTTGCTATGAGTTTGGAATCACTGTAAAGGCAGTGAGTTTGGTTTGGGATCTTCATGGAAGCTGACTGCCGCAGTGTTCTCCTGGCTCATGGATTCCTACCTCGGACCTTTCTGTTAGCTGCTGGGCACTTAACCACTGCACCACCAGGGCCGCCGTCAAGCAAAGGAGGGTGTACAATGGACTAGCTTATTAGAAAAAAGGTGGTAGTCTTTTCTGAGAGCAGCCTGGCCCTGCACCAATATGTATCCATAGAAAGAAGGCTATACATCAAGGTATGTAACAATGGTGAGATTAAGAATCGTATTTAATTTTTCACTTACCATGATTTTGAAAAGGAACACATATTACTAACATAATATGTTAATTACATAACCTTTTAAGTTTCAGGAGCGGTGGTGGTACAGTGAGTTGCACGTTGGGCTACTAACTACAAGGTTATTGGTTCAAAACCACCATCTGCTCTTCAGGAGAAAGAGGCGGCTGTCTACTCCTGTAAAGACTCGCCATCTCAGAAACCCGCGGGGCCGTTGGACCCAGTCCTAGAGGGCTGCTAGGAGTCAGAATCTACTTGGTGGCAGCGAGCTTTTTGTGTGTGTTTGTTGTTAAGTTTCAGAGAAAATGCTTCACATAGAAATGACTGAATCTAAGAAGTAGTAGAAGTTCTGTAATTGAATATCTTTTTAAACAGGAGACACTAAGGCTAGGAACCAGCGAATAGTAGGGTATGTGCAAACTCTGTGTGGATGAAGCAGACAATGCTATGAAACATAAAGACCATAGTAGATGCTCAGTAGACGTCTGATCAGAACAATAGAGAAGAGCAGAACTGTGCAGGGGCAAAGGCCACAATTTCTACCACAATCTGCCAATATTGGAATCCCAGCTCTACCACCCACTCTCTTTGACAAGTCTCCTAACCGCTGGAGGACCCACAGGGATAAGGGCCCCAGCTCTCTCTCACACAGGGCTGTTGTTTTGCTCTTGGTGGTGTTGGGAGCCGTTGAAGCCAGTCTGCCTCATAGCAGCCCCATGTGGCAGAGTAGAAAACTGACATAAGGCTTCCTAGGCCATAATCCTTTTTTAAAACATTGTATTGGGGGCTCTTAGAGATACTACAACAATCCATAAATCAATCACATCAAGCAAACTTATACATATGTTGCCATCCACATTTTCAAAACATTATCTTTCTACTTGAGCCCCTTGATGTCAGCTCCTCTTTTTACCCTCCCTCCCCCATCCTCCCACCCTCCTGAACCCTTAATAAATTTTATATATACATATTTTTTCATATCTTACACTATCCGCTGTATCCCTCCACTCACATTTCTGTTATTCATCCCCCTCCAGGGTGGGGTGTGGGGTTATACATCCATCATTGCTATCAGTTTCCCGTTTCTCCCCTTCCCCGCCCCCACCTCGCCCCCCACCCACCCCCTCCCCTTATCCTCATGAGACCACTATTCCCATTACTGTTTCTGAGGAGTTTATCTATCCTGGAATCCATGTGTCGAAAGCACTTATCTGTACAAATGTTCCTATTCCAGTCTACCAGATTTGTGAAGTAGAACTGGGATTATGATGGTGAGACCTCGTCTTCAAGGCTTCCTCAAGCCTTAAAGGACTACAGCAATGTTGTGTGTTTCGTCGGTGCTATACTGCACTCTTTCTGGCTCGTCCATTCTATGTGACTCTTCTGTGAGGGAATGTCCAACTGTCTACAGATGGGCTCTGGGCTTCCACCCTGACCCCTTTCCTTCACATCGATATAATCGTTTAGTTTTGATCTTCCGATACCTGATCCCATCGATGCCACATGATCACACAGGCTGGCATGCTTCTTCCATGTGGGCTTTGTTACTTCCTTGTTAGATGGCCGCTTGTTTAACCTCAAGCCTTTTAGACCCCAGATGCTATATCTTTTAATAACCGGGCACCATCAGCTTTCTTCACCACGATTGCTTATGCACCCAATTTGTCATCAGTGATTGCATTGAGAAGTTGGGTATCACACAGTGCTAGGTCATAATATTTATGTGAACAGACAGACACCCAAGTCTTTCTCCTGAAGAGCCCTAGACAGTTAGAACTATCGTCCTTTCAGTTAGCAGCTGAGTACTTAATCATTGAGCCACCAGGGATAAGAGTTCTTATGAGGATGAAATGAATTAAATTAGTTTTTTAAGTTTCAATACTGTGCCTGGCTCATACTAAGTGCTATACAAATATTTGTTCAATAAAAGATAAAGCAGTAACTATAAGTAAAGGAGCCTTGGTGGCACAGTCGGTTATGCAATGGGCAGCACAACCACAAGGGCTGCAGTTTGAAACCATGAGCCGCTCTGATAGAGAAAAATGAGGCTTCTACTCCCATACAGATTGACAGTCCGTGGAAACCCACAGGAGCAGTTCTACCTGTCTCGTAGGGTTACTAGGATGTGTTAGATTGACTGGATGGCAGTGAGGTTGGAGTTTGGGTGATTATTAGCAATGTTGGCAATAAGCACAGACATGTGTGGAAGATGCTGGGTACATCCTTACTTGTGGTGCATTTTTTTATTAAGACAGCCCTCAAATGGGTGTTAATTTGAAAAGGCATTACCTTTGGTCCTGAAATCCCATAAATGCCAATCAACTCTTCAATTCCATCCAGGACAAGAATACACGGCTTTAAGCTGATGGAAGCGAGGAACCTTTCCACAAGAAGTGAAAACACCCACAGACTTGGGTCCTCGTGAAGAGCATCCGTTTCGAGGGGAGTCCCTGTAGCACAGAAATTGGTTCAGATTAGGTGAAAATACTTCCAACATTGCTAAAATATGTTAATGGATGGGGATTGGAAACAGTGATGCTGTTCATGGCTGCTCAGCAGATGATGCGCACTGTGGGATTTGTTGCTGCTAGGTGCTGAGTTGGTTACAACAGCAGTCCTGCGCTGTTCTCGCAAACCATTACTATGTTTTAGCCCATCCTTACAGCCACTGTGTCATTCCATAGCAATCAGGGTCTTCCTCTTTTTGTTGTTGTTGCTGTTGTTGACCTTCTACTTTACCAAGCATGATGCCCCTCCGCAGGGATTGGTTCCTCCTGGTCATATATCCCGAACAGATGAAACGCCTTTGAGCCTCCTTTCTAAGGAGCTGTGATTAGCATCCTCAAAATATCCAACCTAGAAAGAGGTCTCCAATACATTGTCAAGATTTTATATGAGATATTTTTGTATAATCCAAATCATTGCTCTCATTTTCCAAAATGCAAAAATAGATTATGTTACAAATAGGTGGATGGGAAGGAAAAAGGAGTCAGACTATGTGATTTGTAAAATGTCTTCACCTGTCCAGGAGTAATAGCCATGACCTTGAGTTCGTCCTTCTGGAGATGTACAGCAACTCCTACCCATGCCTAGTCTCTTTAGTCCTGGCTAGTGTTAACTCTTACATTAAAACCAAAACCAACTCCGGGAGAGAGATGTATTGATCGGAGCACATGGGAGTAGATGACGGGGGAGGAGGAGAGACTGGAGCACATCCTGGCCCACCAGGCCTGGAGGACGATGACCCCAATTAGAACAGCCAATAACAGAGAGGACCACATGGCCAGCCCCACTATGGGACACGATGGCCCTCACTGACCCATGGCCC